ATAAACATTTTTTCATCAAGTACGTTTCGAGTAATGAGGCTTGAAATCATTTCTTAATTTTACATAAACCATAAAATATCTTGTAAAATATTCATTTTTTGATTATCTTACCTTAATACTTTTATGTACAAAATAATGAGAGAAATCAATTGGTGTAAAGAAAACATACAGTTGTTTTTAAGAAAAAATATGGAATTGTTAATTGCAAATTACATATTTTTTTCTTAAAAACAACTGTATGTTTTCTTTGCACCAATGGATTTCTCTCATTATTTTGTACATAAAAGTATTAAGGTAAGATAATCAAAAAATGAATATTTTACAAGATATTTTATGGTTTATGTAAAATTAAGAAATGATTTCAAGCCTCATTACTCGAAACGTACTTGATGAAAAAATGTTTATTTATAGTGTTTTGGAAAGCTCTCGAGATAAGCTACAAGAATATGCAAAAATATATAGGGTGTTCCATTTAAGAAATTGAAAATGATCTTCACGTAACCTTCATGTGACTCTTCAAGATCAAATTAATGGTACCATCTTATGTCCCCCTCGAAATCATACAACTTTTGTCTGAAACATCTTTTTCTAAAATTAAAAATAAGAAAGTTATTTGGGGTGGGGCATTAAAATGGGACACCCTGTATATATATATACAGGGTCTACCAAAAGTGTGGAAACCCCTAAATATCTCGGAAAATATACGTTTTACAGAAAAGTGTTTCCAACAAAAGTTGTAAGGTTTAAGAAGATCTATATACTGATTCTATCAGTTTGACCTTGGATGGCGTCGTCAAGGTCAGGTCAAGGTCACATTGACTTTTTTAAATGACACCCCCTACATTTGATTGCATATTCTTATAGCTTAATTCAAGAGCTTTCCAAAACACTATAATAATGTTCATTTTTATTAAGTACTTTGCGAGTTATGAGGGTTGAAATAATTTCTTAATTTTACATAAACCATAAAATATCTAGTAAACCATTCATTTTTCGATTATCTTACCTTCATACTTTTATGTACAAAATAATGAAAGGAATCAATTGGTGTAAAGAAAACATACAGTTGTTTTTAAGAAAAAATATGGAATTGTTAATTGCAAATTACATATTTTTTCTTAGAAACAACTATGTGTTTTCTTTACACCAATTGATTCCTCTCATTAATTTGTACATAAAAGTATGAAGGTAAGATAATCGAAAAATGAATGGTTTACTAGATATTTTATGGTTTATGTAAAATTAAGAAATTATTTCAACCCTCATAACTCGCAAAGTACTTAATAAAAATGAACATTATTATAGTGTTTTGGAAAGCTCTTGAATTAAGCTATAAGAATATGCAATCAAATGTAGGGGGTGTCATTTAAAAAAGTCAATGTGACCTTGACCTGACCTTGACGACGCCATCCAAGGTCAAACTGATAGAATCAGTATATAGATCTTCTTAAACCCTACAACTTTTGTTGGAAACACTTTTCTGTAAAACGTATATTTTCCGAGATATTTAGGGGTTTCCACACTTTTGGTAGACCCTGTATATATATATATATATATATATATATACTCGTATATATATTTATTCATTATTTCTTTTCAGCTGATTTTCGTCATTTAATTAATTAGATTAATTTTTGTGCATATATAATTATTTATTCTCTGTGCTTTTGATTTTAACATTAATATTTTCGTAATTTAATTTATTGCATATGATTTCATTATTTCTTATTTAATTTATTAAGTAACGTTCTATTGTATATAATTTTGTACGAGTTTTCTTGATTTATTAAATCATTCATATTTGTTAATTATTTTATAATATTTTAGCATTATAGTTATATTATTATTTCTCTCATTTATAATTCTATTGTTTTGAGTGGAAGAGGCCTTGAATATTTTCTATATAATAAAGCGTGAGTATAGAATTTTACATTTATTAAATGATTTCTTTAATTTATGGCATTGTATTATTTGTAGTTATTCATTATTGAATTTATTTTATTAAATTTATTTATTTTATTATTTATTATTATTTATAGACTTATGAATTATTTATCATCTATTTTTATATCTGGTTATTATATGAGTGTCAAAAAAATAAGTTTTAATAAATTTAATTATAATTTAATAAATGATTTTAATAAAGTATGTCGTTTATTAATATGTCTTATTGAATTATTTTATTGTCGATGTATTTATTATTTTGAAAATAATATTTAGAATACACGGGTGTATATTTTTTGCTGTTAATAATAAATCTTATGGATAATTAGTAATTTATTAATTTTTTATTGTGTTCTTATATGATCAATATTATTTCTCACTTATAATTTCTTTGTTACAGTTCTCGCGTTCAGTCAGAGGGTGAAGTCATAGGATGAAATCATACATACCAGAGGGAAGATAACGAGACACGCAACTTTGGCATTGAGCGTCTTTTAAGAGGCTTTTATAATTCTGCATGAGACAAAGAGTTAAGTATAAAATTTTATTTAATTAATTTTTACTTTCTTATTTAATTATATATATATATATTTATTTTTGTACAATTATAGTCTCGTTTTTAATATTGAGTTTTCTAAATTTTCTTAATTTTTTAATTTTTAATATATATACGTGAATTTGTTATTTAATTCTTTATTTATTTTGCTAATGTTCATTTGGTTATTATTTTATTTGTTTGTTCGTTTTATTATTATTATTTATAGTATTTTTGTGTGATTATGAACAAATATTATTCTTTTATTAAATATTTTCCAGGTATCATTATTTGAAGTTAAGCAGCGCTGGGATTATGGATGACTATACCATATATAGATGTTACGAGAAACTTTTATTTTATATTTAGGTGAGATTGATTTAAATTATTATTTAGTTATTTAATTAACTCATTATTCTTGCAATATTGGGTTTGCTACATTTAATTGAATTAAGGTCATAATACTTTTTGTCACATAATTAGTTGATTATATTAGAGTAAAATTCAATTATAAAATTTGTTACTGCCATATGCTATATTCTTACATACGTGTGTGTTATTTGTTCAGTAGTTTTATTTTCTATAATCTTTTATTATTGATTTATTAGTTTTAACTTTTGCATAATAAATTACTTATGATATATATGTATATATAAGTGTTCGAAATGCATATGCGGAAAAATTCGCGTACCAGTGAAATCCGCATTTTCTATTATAAGCCCGAAAATTCGAAAATAACGGGCGGCGAGAAACTTCTCGAAAAATCGATTGTTGACTAAAAGCCAACCGTTCAAGTCATCTCTCTCTTTTTTTGGTCGCACAAAAACGCTCAGTGACAACAGTTGACAATAACATTGTCAACTGTCGCCGAAATCCGCGCAACGAACGGGCATGCGCGCCCGTACGTCACGATCAGCTGATCGCCAATCAGCTGATCGGAAAAAGTTGTACGCATGACAAATGTTAACCGCCTATTTCCTGACCTCATCGGCGGCCAATTAGGTGCGGCGCCATGAGGTCACCGCCAAATTTTAAAGTTAATTGGGTCACGTCGCAACGAGACCCAAAAATCCGCCCGGTATATAATGGGCCCAACGCGAGGGCACACCGAAGTCTCGCACTTTTCGCACAACCGCTTTCTCAGTTCAACCGCTTCGCTAAAAAACCGCTTATTGTACACGACCGCTTACTCACTCGGACTTTTCGTTATTCTTGCTTCACTTCAGTGTCTGTAATCAAATATATATTTTGTGTAAACTTTATTTCTTTAATTGTGTGGTGTTAAAAATAAAAACTCTATAAAAAGAACAAAAAATATACGTGTCATGGCTCGTCTTTATTGCAAAAGTTGTGGTGTCTTCATTGTCGTCATTTATCGTCGCGCCTGTCTCCACGGCTAAGTCATTCGCGAACATTTTCTGGTCCTTCGAGCCGGATTCGCCATCCGCATCCGCAGTTCGTGAGTGACGTTCTCGTGACATTTAGTGCGCGAACCTGTGCAAAAAGAAACAGTTACGATGAGTGCCGATTTGAAGGCGTTGTTGGAAGCGCAAAACGACTTCCACGGGCGAATGTCCCGCTCCGTGGACAATCTGCGCAAGATGGGCGTCTCGAGCATCACGGCCGGAGCAGTCCAGGCTCGCCTCCGCATCCTCGACACGCTGTGGACCAAATTTGAGGCTCATCATGACCTCATCAGGACAACTCTGAAAGATAAATATCTCGAGAGTGAGTACGCTAAGGCAGACTTTATCGATATCGCGGAATCAACTTACGTGTCTCAGCGAAGCATACTTGTCGAATACGCGAACAGTCTCAAAGACGAGGCGTCGATCACGCTCAAGACCGAGCGCCAAGAGCAGACGCTCAAAACTTCGTTGCCGCGGATCAAGCTCCAGTCGTTCTCTGGGGCATACGGAGATTGGCCCGCGTTTCGCGACATCTTTCAGTCCATCGTCGGCAGCAATGCGTCCATCTCCGACGTGGAAAAGCTGCACTATCTCCGCACGAGCTTGCAGGGTCCTGCGGAAAAGCTAATAAGATCGTTGCCAATTGTCGGGGGCAATTACGAGCGAGCCTGGTCCAACCTCAGCTCACATTATGAGAACAAGCGGGAACTCATTCGCGCCAACTTCGCCGCCTTTAACGCTGTGGCAAAAATGAAAGCCGCGACTGCCGACGAGCTTAGCCGCGTTTATAATGCCGCCACCACTGCCATTAATGCTCAGGAGAGCATTGCCAGGCCTATAGACACGGAATGGACCTCTTTAATTACTTACTTATCGAGCGATTCGATGCGCAAACCCGGATGCAATGGGAGTCCTCCATCCGTGACTCCGTCGATCCGCCAAGTAACGACGTGCTTATGGACTTCATCGCGAAGCAAATCCTGACGCTGAACGCCGTGCAGCCAGCCACCGTCGCGAAATCCGGAGAAGCTTCCCGGTCCGCGAAGTCTCACTTCGTGAAGCGCGCTTCGGACTCCTCAGTTTGCGCCGTCTGTAAAGAGAAACATTCCGTTATGCAGTGCGCGACGTTTAAAGCCAAGACCGCGACCGAACGGAAAACCCTGGTGGAGGCGCACAAGCTCTGCTTCAACTGCCTCGGGAACCACTTCCTGGCGAAATGCCAATCGACGAAAACGTGCTTCACATGTAAGGCACGACACCACACTATGCTGCACGACGCGTACTCGCAAGCCGATGGAGCAGCTTCGTTGTCTGCCACGCACTTCGCGTCTGACCGCAAGGCGATCCTTCTCGCCACCGCTCGGGTCACCATCAAAGACCACCTGGGGAGACCGCACGACGTTCGAGCGCTAATTGACCAAGGGTCCGAGGTCTCTCTGGTCACGGAGGCTCTGGCCCAGCGGTTGCGTCTGCCGCGGGACCGCTCTTCGATGAAGATAGCCGGGATCGGAGGAGCAACCGGAGCAACTCGTGGACGGCTGTCAATGACGCTATCCTCCCCAATCACTGGAGCAGCATTCCCGGTGCAGGCGTACATTCTCCCGCGTCTCTCGGCGTACCAGGGGCCCGTCGTGCGATCCGGCATCACTTGGCCCCACATACGCGGCCTCCCGCTAGCCGATCCACAATACCTTGACCGAGATCCGATCGAGATATTGCTCGGCGCGGACGCTTACTCCGCCATCCTCCAGGATGGGCTCCGCAAAGGACGTAAGGACGAGCCAATAGCGCAAAGGACCTCACTCGGATGGATCTTGTCGAGCGGTCATCGAGCCACGAAACAAGCCGGCCACACCGCCCATCAATGTACGGTCGATCACGAGCTGAACGATCTCGTGAAGCTCTTCTGGGAGCAGGAAAAGGAACCTGTCGCTCCCGTCGCGCTCACTCCTGAGGAGAAAAGATGCGAAGACATCTTCGCCCGCGAGCACTCACGCACTAACGCCGGGCGTTACATGGTGAGGCTTCCCTTCGCCGGAACTGCACCCTCTCTGCCAGAAACCCGCCGGCCGAGCGTTTGCTCCACGCCATGGAGCGCCGCTGCGAGAAGGACGCTCGATTCGGCAACCTCTACCGCAGCTTCATGAAGGACTACGAGGACCTGCAACACATGGAAGCTGTAACTTCATCATCACAACGGGAAGATACCGCACGGTGCTACTTACCGCATCACGGAGTGTTGCGAGAGACGAGCACCACTACGAAGCTCAGGGTTGTGTTCAACGGCTCTCAGCTCACAACCTTGGGCACCTCACTGAACGCCAGCCTACTGACGGGAGCCAACCTCTTACCAGCTCTCGCGGACGTGCTGCTTCGTTGGCGCTGGCACCGCTATGTCTTCGTGGCGGACATCGAGAAGATGTACCGCCAAATCCTCATCCACCAGGACGACCGCGATCATCAGCGGATACTGTGGCGGCACAGTGCCGCCGACGACATCCGCGAATACCGCCTACGAACGGTCACGTATGGCTTGGCGTGCGCGCCGTTCCTTGCCATACGGACCTTGCACCAGCTCGCCGATGACGAGGGTACACGTTTCCCGCGGGGAGCTGCCGCGCTGCGCCGCGATACCTACGTGGATGACATCGTGACCGGCGCCGGCACCCTTTCGGAAGCCACTTTAGCCCAGCGAGAGCTCCGCGGCCTCTGCATGGCGGGCGGGTTTCCGCTTCGGAAGTGGGCGACGAACGACCTCCGCATCCTGGACGGCGTTCCGCACGAGCACCGGCTCACCCACTCACCTCACTCGTGGTTTCACGAAAGCCACACCACACTAGGTCTTCACTGGCATCCGGCCGGTGACCACTTCACCTTTTCACAACAGGCGCGTCACTTCGATGAACTCACTAAACGACGCGTGCTGTCTGAGACCGCCCGAATGTTCGACCCGCTGGGCTGGCTCACTCCGGTCACGATGCGAGCAAAAATCTTAATCCAGTCCGCCTGGCTCCAGAAGCTAGACTGGGATGCTCCTCTTCCATCAACGGACGCACTTGCTTGGAAGAGCCTGCTCACTCAACTCCCACGCCTCAACGAGATAAGGGTATCTCGTTGGCTCGGCAGCGACGGTTCGCACTCACACGTTGACCTCCACGGATTCGCCGACGCATCGGAGCGAGGATACACCGCCGTGGTGTACCTCCGCTCTTCCACTCAAAGGGGCACCACGATCCACTTGCTCAACGCGAAGGGCAAGGTCGCCCCCGTGAAGCCCGTGTCCTTGCCGCGACTCGAGTTGTGCGCTGCCGCCCTCTTAACGAACCTCGTTGCTCACACGCGCACTTTATTGAGTCTGTCCGCAGCCCCCGTCTTCCTCTGGTTAGATTCCAAGGTAACACTTCATTGGATTCACGGTCACGCCTCCCGCTGGAAGACCTACGTGGCCAACAGGGTGTCTCTGATCCAAGAGCAACTGCCCGAAGCGCGATGGCGACACGTGCCGGGAAGGGATAACCCGGCTGACTGCGCCTCCCGAGGCATCCTGCCTGACGACCTGGCCGATCATCTTCTCTGGTGGACCGGACCATCCTGGCTCCTAGAGGACGAGGCGAGGTGGCCAAGTGACGACGGCGCCCTGCTGGACGCTGACTTGCCGGAGCGTAGAGCCGTCGCCTCACTGGCGGCTGCCGTCAAGGACGTTTCTGAGTCGGCCTTCCTTCTCCGGTTCTCATCGCTGCACCGGCTCCTCAGAGTGACCGCCTGGTGTCTTCGATGGCGACGAAACGGCACCCGGAGACCTCGCGGCACCACTGACACCGCACGATCACTCGAAGCTTGCGAAATCGAAACCGCACTCACTCGCTGGATTCACACCACTCAGGCACTGCACTTCCACGACGAATTCAACGCACTACGCAAAGAACGTGCCTTGCCACCTCGGAGTCCGCTCATGAGTCTGAATCCGTTCATCGATGACAGCGGAGTGATGCGTGTCGGAGGACGACTGAAACACGCCATGCTGTCTCATGACGAGCGGCATCCCATTATAATTCCGCCGGAATCCAGGCTGACTCACCTGATGGTCGATTCCTGTCACCGGCGAACCCTGCACGGAGGAGTGCAGCTCACCCTCGGGTTGCTGCGCCAACGGGTCTGGATCCTGCGTGGTCGAGCGGTCGTTAAACGGGTCATCCACCGATGCGTCACCTGCACGCGATGGAAAGCCGCCGCTCCACAACCGATGATGGGCAATCTCCCCCGAGAGCGAGTGACTCCTGCACGCCCGTTCCTGCGCACCGGAGTCGACTACGCCGGCCCGATCTTCATCCGGACCAGCAAGGGGCGAGGCCACAAGGCGAGCAAGGGCTTCATCTCAGTCTTTGTCTGCCTCAGTATCAAGGCCGTTCACCTCGAGGCCGTCACTGACTACTCGGCAGAGGCATTCCTGGCCGCCTTCCGCCGCTTCGTCTCCCGGCGAGGCCTCTGCCATGAAATCTTCTCCGACTGCGGCACGAACTTCGTCGGGGCGGATCGAGAGCTACGAGAACTGTTCCGCGCTTCCTCCTCCGACGGCCGTCGGATAGCTCTCGCTACAACCTCCGACGGCGTGAGATGGAGATTCAACCCCCCGGCAGCTCCACACTTCGGCGGACTCTGGGAGGCAGCCGTAAAATCCACGAAGCACCACCTCCGCAGGGTCATCGGCGAGGCCACCCTCACCTACGAGGAGATGGCGACGCTCCTCGCTCAGGTGGAGGCGTGCCTGAATTCACGCCCGTTACAGCCGCTGACGGACGACCCCGACGACGTGACGGCACTCACACCCGGGCACTTCCTGATCGGAGCGCCCCTTCTGGCCGTCCCAGAACCGCCCCTCACCGCCGAGAAGGACACTGCACTCTCCCGGTGGCGACTTCTCCAGAAGATGCGCGACCACTTCTGGGAACGGTGGTCGCGCGAATACCTGGGCACCCTGGCCGCAAGACCGAAATGGACCAGGGATGAGACCGGCCTCAGCATCGGCGACCTGTGCCTGCTCCGGTCCGAGATCACACCCCCGACCAGATGGCCGCTCGCCCGCATCACGGCACTGCACCCCGGAGACGATGGAATCACCCGCGTGGTCACCCTCCGCACGGCGACGTCGAAGTTTACTCGGCCACTCGCGAAAATCGTCCTCCTGCCGGGGGCCGACACCGCAGCACCAACAACTCCGGTCTCGTGAGCGAGAAAAATCATTTTTTTTTTTTTTTTTTTTCATTATTACTTACCTGTACCGCGAGAACGCCGACAATCATACCGCGCGTGACCACCGCTTAATCACATGTGGCCGCACTATCATTCCTTCCTCTTTTTTCACCGTCGCTCATCACTTCACATCATTTAAGTTGTTCATCATTCACTGTCACTCGAGCGTCACTACATTCGCGAGATCATGCACGCAAACACCTTACACTCAGTTCATCACATTCACTGCATATTCTCACTTCATCACCGCACTACTCATTTTCTCAACGGATTCGCTCGAACTGCACAACACGTGCTCCCGCATGACGTCACACATTCCATTGATTGATCGCGATCCATGGCTCGCCACTAGAACAGTACGCGACACCTGCCCGTAACCGCGCACACCAATAAATTTCGTCACGTACTGACGAGGCGGGCGGGATGTTCGAAATGCATATGCGGAAAAATTCGCGTACCAGTGAAATCCGCATTTTCTATTATAAGCCCGAAAATTCGAAAATAACGGGCGGCGAGAAACTTCTCGAAAAATCGATTGTTGACTAAAAGCCAACCGTTCAAGTCATCTCTCTCTTTTTTTGGTCGCACAAAAACGCTCAGTGACAACAGTTGACAATAACATTGTCAACTGTCGCCGAAATCCGCGCAACGAACGGGCATGCGCGCCCGTACGTCACGATCAGCTGATCGCCAATCAGCTGATCGGAAAAAGTTGTACGCATGACAAATGTTAACCGCCTATTTCCTGACCTCATCGGCGGCCAATTAGGTGCGGCGCCATGAGGTCACCGCCAAATTTTAAAGTTAATTGGGCCACGTCGCAACGAGACCCAAAAATCCGCCCGGTATATAATGGGCCCAACGCGAGGGCACAACGAAGTCTCGCACTTTTCGCACAACCGCTTTCTCAGTTCAACCGCTTCGCTAAAAAACCGCTTATTGTACACGACCGCTTACTCACTCGGACTTTTCGTTATTCTTGCTTCACTTCAGTGTCTGTAATCAAATATATATTTTGTGTAAACTTTATTTCTTTAATTGTGTGGTGTTAAAAATAAAAACTCTATAAAAAGAACAAAAAATATACGTGTCGTGGCTCGTCTTTATTGCAAAAGTTGTGGTGTCTTCATTGTCGTCATTTATCGTCGCGCCTGTCTCCACGGCTAAGTCATTCGCGAACAATAAGTATATTTGATAATCATTAATTTAAAATGATCGTATAATTAAAAGTCTTCTATTTTATTTTAATTAATTATTTAAAATGTTGGATCTTTGAATGAGTAATTATTTTCTTTATTTCATTTATTTCAATAATGTCCATGTAGAATAATAATTATTATTTTTAATATGTATATTAATTATTTTATTTCTTTTACAGGTTCTCAGAATCAAAATGGTCTTTTTGAAAAGAGAATTGCTATATACTATTATTCAATATTTCAATTGATTTCTACCAGTTCGGACTTTATGAATATTATTCTCGTATTGAAAGATGTAAGCGTTAAATTCATTCTTTGGTTAGTATATTTATGTTAATATTTATTGTTCGTGTCCGAAATTTTAAATTAATCATTTAACTGAATAAAATTATTATTTATTGTATATATGTATATATGGGTTTTATGTGAAATGTTTATTGAGTTTCCTGGAGATCAAAATTACTTGTTATATTGAGATGTTTAATTGTTATTAAATGCGTTTTGGATTTTAATTTGTTTAATTATTATTTTAAGTTTTATTTACTCGGACAATGTCCTAATTGGGTTGTTAAAATTTATTACATTGATTTGAAAGGGTATCAATATACTAATGTTGGGTTAAATATTTTATATTTAAATGTTTGTTTTACGAAACTTTATTGTATGTATTTCACATATATTATATATATAGTTAATGGTTTATACCTTATATTTGTATTTGAATTTTCATGGATATTCGTTAATGATTTTATTGATAATTTTGATTATTCATGCAACTATCAGCTGCTTAATAATACTGTTAATAAAGATGTTTAACATTCATATAATTATTCATTTGATTAATTAGTTATATCATATGTATTGATTTTATACCTAGTATTTTAATTCTTTATAAATTTTTATTGTTTATTATATGTATATCGTGAAGTGTAAAGAATATTTATTAAATTTATTTATATATGAATTTTATTCGGGTTTAAGTATATAAATTAAATTTATATTGAATTTTGTTTATATGGTTAAATTTCCGAGTTTATATTATATTTTTATTGTTTCCTTTCATCATTATTGAAAAGGAGTTTTGTAAAATAGTCTTATTAATATTAATTATTGAGAATTTTTAAATTTTGATGACAATTATGTCTTTTGCATGAAGAAAATGTTTAATAAGAATTTATTGCTTTCGGCTTATATTAATTAATTTTTCACAGATTCTTCAGATGGCATTATATACATTTATAACAAGGAGAAAGGCATTCTTTCGAGGGACATGAATTGCACATATGCGTTAGAAAGATAATTGATTCTACTTACTACATTTCGACAGAAGCTTAAATCTATTGTAAGCATTTATTTTCTTTGTTAGTATTTTTATTTTTTATTTTTATCTAACAAAATGAATCTCTGTTGAATTTTGTTATATTAATTAACTAATAAAGATATATATATATATATGTATATATTTTCTAGAATTCTTCATTTTATAAATTTCTCTTTTTGTTTAATGATTAATTAAGATTTATTTAATAAATTTCTGATAATTATGGTTAGGTTCATTTTGTTGATTTTATTTGTATATGTGTATATTATCTATCGCTACTATATAGCTGGTTTTTCGGTTAGGTCTACTGGTATGGTGAAATTTTATTATAGAAATTATTAGTAATACGATATATATAAGAGTGCAATACGTTTACTAGACTCTTTTTATAGTAAAGATTAATTTTCTTTTTATCATAATTAAGGAAAGAAATAGAAAATAAAAAAAAATTTATTCGTAAATGTTTTTTTGTTGCGAGACGTAACAACGCACACCTATGCGACGTACTAACGTGAATTAAACGTTATTTTTGAATAAAGCATGCGATGATGCGAAGTACTAAACTAACCAGAAATGAATGCTTTTAAACCTAATAACGCACGCCTATGCGACGTACTAACGTGAATTAAACGATTTTTTTCAAGATAGCATGCGATGGTGCGAAGTGCTGAATTAAGTAGAAATGAACGATTTTAGTTCGAATAACGCACGCCTATACTACGTACTAACGTAAATTAAACGCTTATTTTCAAGATAACAAGCGATGATGCGAACTATTGAACTGACCAGAAATGAATGGTTTTAATCCGAATAACGCACGCCTATACGACGTACTAACGTGAATTAAACGCTTTTTTTCAAGATAGCATGCGATAATGAGAACTACTGAACTAAGTAGAAATGAATGCTTTTAATTCGGATAACGCGCGCATATGCGACGTACTAACGTGAATTAATCGCTTTTTTTTAAGATAGCATGCGATGATGCGAAGTTCTGAACTAAGTAGAAATGAATGCTTTTAATTCCGATAACGCACGCCTATGCGACGTACTAACGTGAATTAAACGATTTTTTTCAAGATAGCATGCGATGATGCGAAGTGCTCAATTAAGTAGAAATGAACGCTTTTAGTTCGAATAACGCACGCCTATACTACGTACTAACGTGAATTAAATGCTTATTTTCAAGATAACAAGCGATGATGCGAACTACTAAACTGACCAGAAATGAATGGTTTTAATCCGAATAACGCACGCCTATACGATGTACTAACGTGAATTAAACGCTTTTTTTCAAGATAGCATGCGATAATGAGAACTACTGATCTAAGTAGAAATGAATGCTTTTAGTTCGGATAACGCGCGCATATGCGACGTACTAACGTGAATTAATCGCTTTTTTTCAAGATAGCATGGGATGATGCGAAGTTCTGAATGAAGTAGAAATGAATGCTTTTAATTCGAACAACGCACGCATATGCGACGCACTGACGTGAATTAAACGCTTTTTTTCAAGATAGCATGCGATGATGCGAATTAGTGAACTAAGTAGAAATGAATGCTTTTAATTCGAATAACGCACGCCTATGCGACGTACTAACGTGAATTAAACGTGATTTTTTTCAAGATAGCATGCGATGATGCGAAGTACTAAACTAACCAGAAATGAATGGTTTTAATCCGAATAACGCACGCCTATGCTACGTACTAACGCGAATTAAAAGCTTTTTTCAAGACAGCATGCGATGATGCGAACTACTAATCTAAGTAGAAATGAATGCTTTTAAATCGGATAACGCACGTCTATTCGACGTACTAACGTGAATAAAACGCCATTTTTCAAGTTAGCATGCGATGATGCGGAGTACTGAACTAAGTAGAAATGAATGCTTTTAATCCAGATAACGCACGCCTATGCGACGTACTAACGTGAATTAAAAGATATTTTTGAATATAGCATGCGATGATGCGAAGTACTGAACTAAGTAGAAATGAATGCTTTTAATCCGGATAACGCACGCCTATGCGACGTACTGACGTGAATTAAACGCTTTTTTTCAAGATAGCATGCGATGATGCGAACTACTGAATTGACCAGAAATGAATGCTTTTAATCGGAATAACGCACGCCTATGGGACGTACTGACGCGAATTAAAAGCATTTTTTCACGATAGCATGCGATGATGCGAAATACTAAACTAACCAGAAATGAATGCTTTTAATCCGAATAAAGCACACCTATGCTACGTACTAACGCGAATTAAAAGCTTTTTGCATGATAGCATGCGATGATGCGAACTACTGATCTAAGTAGAAATGAATGCTTTTAATTCGAATAACGCACGCCTATGCGACGCACTGACGTGAATTAAACGCTTTTTTTCAAGATAGCATGCGAAGATGCGAACTACTGAATTGACCAGAAATGAATGCATTTAATCGGAATAACGCACGCC